CACTTTATCGTTATGGTCCTGCTTTTTCCACTTAGGGCTACCTATTGGAATGTTAACTGATCATGTTGGCTTGATCTTGTGCAAGTGACTTTGTTGGGGCAACAGCTGCCTGATGCCCAGGAGATGGCATCTTGCAGCCCTCTTCCCAGCTTCCCCTCTTACAGTCTCTCAGCCCCTGTTCCCTGATGTTCCCTGAGTCTTGGGGGAGGCATTGACATGTGTGCCTCCTTAGGGATGGGCACTTCATAGTCACTTGAAGCGGTTGAGCTATTGTGAGCCTTTCAAGAGAAGCTTCCCTGGTCAAGACTGAAGGCAACACTAATTAAAACAGTATCTTAATCCCAGCATTTACACTGGGATGACACAACCAGATTGATCTGTACTCCAATAAATCTGAATATTAGTAGCAAATCAAATACCTGCTAATTGTTAGCAATCCTATAGACAAATTACTAATGAAACTTGTATAAATGTCTTTTAGGTAAAATACTAATCTATAAGATTTTAATTGATATAAAGGTTTATGGTTGCTATCTCTCCCAAATTCAAACATTAAGACCATCTACAATATCACAGTATTAAAAAAGAATTTCTTAAACAATTAATATTTAAAATCCATATTGTAATTATATTAATGAGACACCCCTTGCCACCCCATATATACTGATTAAAAAGAGGTGGGAACTGGGCATGCTACACAACTTTTTTCTCACTGCTTGGGAGGCAGGAGTGGTGGTGTCTCTAAGTGTGAGGCCAGCTGGTCTTCAGAGTCAGTTCCAGGACAGCCAGAGCTACACAGAGAGACCCTGTCTCTTAAAAACAGAGGTGTGTGTGGAGGGGGTGGAAACCATTGCAAACAGAATGAATGACCTCCTCAGAAGGGGCCTGAGGGAGCTTGTTTGTCCCTTTGCATTTCCATTCTTTCTTTGAGGCTGTGTAGCCTGGTCCACTTATGAAGAGTGAGCCCCAAGCAGACCCTGAATGTGCTGTTGTCTTCATCCTCACATCCCAGCCTCTCAAACTATGAACACCATCCTGCCGCTTATAAATGACCAGGTCTAAGGTATTTTGTTACAGTGTCCCCAGTGCACCAAGACATGCAGCATGGTAAGTTTAGAGTCACTGGCAGCCTCTCACATGCCGTGGAGTGTAACCCAATGCTGGGTGGTTGAAGCACACCCTGAGTGGCTTAGATGTATGTTGTTAAAAACTCAGTGACCTCAGGGCAGGCAGGGTCCATAGTCTCCCAGCTCTGTGACATGCGTGGACATTGTGAACACTGTACCCTGTATGTCCACGACTCCCAAGGCAGTGTGTGAACCCAGCAGTTAGTTCTGTTCCTCCACATCCCACATTTCAATCGTATGCCCTTACTCTCAATTTTGTTTTTCATTTGTTTTTCTGTACCAGGGATCTAATTAAGGGCCTCCTGCATTCCAGGCAGGTGCTCTGCCAACCCCGAAGCCTGCCAGTTTGCTCTCTGATTAAACAGCGGTTGCAGTAGACATCTTTATACCTATCTTTTTC